CAACCAGCATCCCCAACATCATTTTTTTAATCCCCGCCCTCACTCCCCACCAGCATCCCAACATCATTTTTTAATCCCGCCCTCACTCCCCACCAGCATCCCCAACGCCATCCCAATTTCTCTATATTCCTCGCCCTCACCCCCAACCAGCATCCCCAACATCATTTTTTAATCCCCGCCCTCACTCCCCACCAGCATCCCAACATCATTTTTTAATCCCCGCCCTCACTCCCCACCAAGCATCCCCCAACTCCATCCCAATTTCCTATATTCCTCGCCCTCACCCCCAACCAGCATCCCCACATCATTAATCCCTCACTACATCATTTTTTATCCCCGCCCTCATCCCAGCATCCCCAACTCCACCCCTCACTCACCCCCACCAGCATCCCCAACATCATTTTTTATCCCCGCCTCATCCCCACCAGCATCCCCAACCATTTTTTAATCCCCGCCCACCAGATCCCCAACTCCATCCCAATTTCTCTATATCCTCGCCCTCACCCCCAACCAGCATCCCCAACATCAATCCTAACATCACCAACATTACTCCATTTCCCCCACCCTCACTCACAACCAGCACCCCACCCTTCTCCCACCCACCCCTCAACACCATCCCACATTTCTTCTTCTTCTTCTTCTTCTTTTCTTCTTCTTTACGTCTTTCTCTTAATATCTCTCCATAACAAACAGGATCTCTGCTCTTGACCCAGTTAATTAAGAAGAGCCCCCCTCCCCCCCCCCGTGACTAACTCAAAACAAGGCGGAAATTACTGTGTACACAATCAAGTAGTGGAGGGGCGGGGAGAGGTAGGGGGAGAGGGGAGGAGGGGTTCAATCGGAGGTTCTCAAGGCGGCCCAAACGGGACGGCAAGGCGTTCGGGTTCATTTCCTACGCTGTTCGGGGAGGTTCAAGGAGGTCAAGGGAACAAGGAGGAAAGAGGGAAGGGGAGAGAGAGGAGAGAGAGGAGAGGAGGAGAGGAGAGGGAGAGGAGGAGAGGAGAGAGAGAGAGAGAGAGGAGAGAGAGGAGAGAGGAGAGAGGAGAGGAGGAGGAGGAGAGAGGAGAGAGAGAGGGAGAGGAGAGGAGAGAGAGGAGAGAGAGGAGAGGAGAGGAGAGGAGAGGAGAGGAGAGGAGAGGAGGGAGAGGGAGGGAGGGGAGGGGAGGGGAGGGGAAGGGAGGGGAGGGGAGAGGAGAGGGGAGGGGAGGAGGGAGAAGAGAGAGATAGGAAAGGTAGAGAGGCAAGATGTAGAGGAGAGAGAGGCAGAGGCAGAGGTAGAGAGAGAGAGTGAGTGAGTGAGTGTGCGGCGCTCGTGCGTGCGTGAGCGTTTGCGCGTGTGTACAAGCGTGTGTGTGTATCTGCGTTCGAAAATCCAGCTTTCCAATTCAGTAAATGTTGTGGGCGTTCCCGCTGTTACTTTTAGAACAACAAGCACACGGTAACGGCCTGGCACTGGGCCAACCCCGTGGGCTGACGGACAAGCCCTCGTGAGGCCAGACACCACCGTGATAAACCCCAATAACAACACCTCGCCCTGACGCCATCGCAGACCCTACAACACCCGCCGCCAGAAGCCCATCTCTCTCTCTCTCTCTCTCTCTCTCTCTCTCTCTCTCTCTCTCTCTCTCTCTCTCTCTCTCTCTCTCTCTCTCTCTCCCCCCCCTCCCCCAACGGCCCGCGCGCGGTGTCTGACATAAACAAGCCTCCGACTCACCTTAGTTAACGAACCTAAAGAACCCTATACCTCCCCTTTCCTCCTCCCCTAACCTAACCCTTCCCTACCCCTACCCTTCCCCTACCCTACCCCTACCCAACCCCACACGCCCGCCCCCGCCCTCCCCGATCACCAGCGAGGCCACGCCCTTGGCACGAAGGTTAAGAATGGGCATAAGGGAGTGCCTGTCAGCCTGCCCGTGCCTGGATCTGTCATCTGACTACCGCGGCGTAACGTGAGCGACATGACAGCTCGCACGCCCTTACCTCCTTTACCTTCCTCCAACCTCTTACGCATGAGTGTGTTATACAAGCCTCCCCTTCTCTCCCCCCCCCCCCCATATTCATCCCTTCCATAGGCCTACCCCACGAAACATCTTAACTGGCGTTCACATGCAACATAGGCCTACGTAACCCATCTTCTCCCCCTCACCCTTGGCCGATTCCTGTACCTCCTCCACTTTCTCAACTTTTCTCATTTTTCCCGTTTAAAGCATCATTTCTTTTTACGCCCGGCAATTTTTCCCAGTCATGCAGAACCTATTAAGGGTCCAGTTCCCGTTTTTTTTTTTTTTTTTTTTTTTTTTTTTTTTTTACAGCCTCTCGAAAAAAAACTTTTAATGGTCGACTCTTGTAATAGTTCCTTGCATTATTTACAAACGGGGGTGAGGATGAAAGGGGGGGGGGTTCTATCCATACCCATATCTTTACTATCGCTGAAATGCACCAAAGAAGGGGGAAGAGACCAATGCCTCAAATGAAATGAATAATGAAATAAATAAATAAACAAAGAAATTAGTAGATATAAACAAATAAATAAGTACATAAATAAAACAAATAAAAAGTAAATAAATAAAAAACAAGTAAATAATAAACAAACAAATAAGTAAAAAATAAACAAGTAAATAAATAAATATATCATATAAAAACATATAAACAAAAAAATCTGAACCCCCCCCTCTGCTTCTCACACCCAAGGTTCCCCCCCCGTGGTCCCCCCCCTCGAGGACCACCGCCGCCATTTCGGAACCTAAGTGCCTGGCGGGGACTTCCCTTTTTCCAAAAGTGCTTCGGCTTCCCGTGCTCCTTAGAACGGCCCCGACACTTAAACGAAACCCACTCGAAGAAATGGGACACACGTGTTTTTTCTTCTTATCTTTCTTTTTTTTCTTCCTGTTTTTATCTCCGTAAGCCCGCGTTTGCCTAAAGGTTTAATTAGGCTTCATCTGCGACCCCAGGTGGAACACCATAAAGGAGAAGAGGGGAGAGAGGGAGAAGAGGGGGAGAGGGAGAAGAGGGGGAGAGAGGGAAAAGGGGGGAAAGGGGAGAGGGAGAGGGGGAGGAGGGAAAAGGGGAAGGGTTTTCACGACACCCTCAAAAGGGGAGACGGGGAAGATTGAGAGAGAGAGAGAGAGAGAGAGAGAGAGAGAGAGAGAGAGAGAGAGAGGAGAGAGAGAGAGAGAGAGAGAGAGAGAGGAGAGAGAGAGAGAAGAGGAGAAGAGAGAGAGAGAAGAGGAGAGAGAAGAGGAGAGAGAGAGGAGAGAGAGAGGAGAGAGAGGAGAGAGAGAGGAGAAAGGAGAGAGAAGAGGAGAGATCGAGCGAGAGAGAAAGCGAGAAAGAGAAGGATAGGAGAGAAAGAAAAATAAAAAAAAAAAAAGAAAAAGAAGAGAAAGAGAAGACAAAGAAAGAGAGAGAGAGAGGGGGAGAAAAGAACGAGAACCCAAGGACCCCTCCCCCCCCACCACCCCACCCTCGATCGATCTACCCCTAATTCTAGGCCTGCAGCGAGACCCGAGCCCGACCTCCTGCATCTCGCGAGGTCACACACACACACGCGACCTCTGAAGCGTCTCGAGACCAAGCCCTCCAGAGGCGGCTAACTACCCTGCTCGTTAAACTACACTACAAACAACGCAATTATTAGCCTGCAAGGGAGACTTTTACAATAGCCTCGCGAATCGACGATACAGAAGAGGTTACTTCTCGTCGAGAGCAAAGGCGGGCGATACGAGTAAGCGATAATAATTGCTCAAATAAAAAGAGCAATAGGATAATAATAACAACAGTAACAGTAAAAAAACTATGATAAGAACAGCAGCAGCAATAATAACAATAATAATAAGAACAGCAGCAATAATAATAATGACAATAATAATAATAATAATAATAATAATAAAGACAACAATATCAATATCAATAACAATACTAATCATAATAATAACAAATACATTGATAAAATGATAACAAAACAGAAGAAAAACAACATCACATTATCAAATACTAATAACAACCACCAATAAACGATAACAATTAAATAAAAAAAAACATACCAACAACAGCAACCAAACCCACCAACAGGCGGACGGGGCTTAAGGGTATAACATCTATCATATCAAATCCACCGAGATGAAGCAGAGGGGGCAAAAAAACAAAAACAAAAACAAAATTTAAAAAAACGTCCCACTTGAACCCCGCCAGCCAGCCCTTCCACGCCAGCTGAGAGCGCGGGCCGGGAGGGGGTGGGGGGGGGCACAAGCAGTACAAACGTTTGATCTTTAAAAGCCAACGGCAGACACAGGCGATTAAATCCTTTCAAGAGCAACAACTAGGCCGATGGCAACGCACACTGTTATTGTTATTACTATTATTATTGTTATTACTATTATTTTTGTTATTACTTTTATTGTTCTTATTACTGTTGTCATTGTTATTATTATCAGTATTGTTGCTGTTGTTGTTACTATTATTATTGTATACATACAAACTGTTTATCATGATTGTTATCATCGTTGTTGTTTTCATTAGTATTATTTTATCATTATCATTATAATTACAATCATTATCATTTGACATTATCATTTTTACTATTATTATGTTATCGTTGTTATTATCATTATTATTATTATTATTATTATCATTATCATATTATATTATTATCATTATTATCATTCATCATCACCATTATATATTATCATCATCATCGTTCCTGTTATTATCAAATCCATTAACACTACTCATCATCATCATCAGTAGCAATGTCTTTAACATTATTAATACATTCATATGCGCAAAAACAATAGACAATATTATTACATTACATTATTACACGAAAGGAACGCATCATAGAGGGGGGGGGGTGCAGAGGGGAAGCAGGGGAAAGAGCGACGGGATGAGGGAGGGGGGGCCAGGAGGGAAAGGGGGGGAGAGCAAAATACCTGCAAGGCAACGCAAAAGATAAAACCAGAAAAAATAAAATTCAAAAAAAATAAAAAATAAAATAAAAAAAA